AAATTGTATTTCATTATCGTTGTCATAAGCAGAAACTTTTTCTTTTATGTTTTTATTGAATAAAATGTTTAATATTGAATCTCATTCGATCATACAAGGTGCGTCCCAAAATTTTCCCAACTTTTTCAATAGGGATAGGTCGGGTGGCGCCATCCGTGTGTTCGATTGCGCGTTTGAAAGGTACATCCCTAGCTGACTTCCAGTAAAAATTTCATGACATTTGGTTCAGTGGAAACGAAGTTATGGCGTCTCAAGTGTCAGTATGTTGTATACATCGGTACGAGAATGAACTTCGAACAAAGAGCCAATATTAAGTTTTGTTTTAAACTTGGTAAAACATTTACCGAAACCCATAATTTGATGAAACAAGTTTATGGTGATAATTGTGTAGCCCGTGCCAGTGTTTATGAGTGGTATACGCGATTCAAGAACGGTCGTGAGGACATAAATGACGACGCACATACAGGTCGCCCAAAATCGACAATTAACGAAAATTCCATCGAAGTTTTTATGATTCCAAGGGTATTGTGCACAAAGAATTCGTTCCAGCAGGCCAAACAGTTAATGCTGTATTCTATGTAAGCGTTTTGAAGCGTTTGGTGCACCGCATTCGTCGTATTCGGCCAGAATATCGCGAAGGAGGAAGTTGGCGCTTGTTACACGATAATGCGCCATCTCACCGTTCGACACTTGTCACTGATTTTTTGACTAAAAATCACATTTTAACAATCAACCATTCCCCGTATTCGCCTGATATGGCACCTTGTGACTTCTACCTATTCGGCAAAATGCATTTGTCCATGAAAGGAAAGCGGTATGTGGACGTAGAAGACATCCAAAGGGCTTGTACCACTATTCTGAAGGACGTGCCTTTGAACGACATAAAACATTCATTTGAAATGCTTTTAGATCGTGCCAAACGTTGTATTGAGTCCGACGGGGACTACTTTGAATAAACAATTTGAATTTGAAAAAAAAAGTAAACCGTTGTTGTTTTATTTCAAAAGTTGGGAAAATTTTGGGACGCACCTTGTATATGAGAGAACACAAATTAATAGAATCAATGCCTTTGACGGCTTAGGATGAACAACATGTTATCGAATAGTATTCTATTTTAAATTGCCTTTTCTATAGGTTTAGTTTAATACTTTATAAAGTAATAATTTAATACTTAATAAGTTTTATATTTTATTGCAAACCCTAATTGTTTCACTTTTTTATACGGTTTTTTTTTTATACGGTCCACTGTATAAAAAGAATTCTAGGTGCATAAAACAAAAATAATGGGACTATAATATTATTCTAAAGTTGATAGCAATCAATCTAAATATTTACTTATATGGTAACTAATGAAATGTAATGATAACAATATAAAAATAAAATTATTTTGATAAAAAAAAATGTGTTTTTAAATTAACCTTTTATTTAACTTGAGTTAATTTAATTTTAATGTAACCTTGAGTTAATTTTTTGTTTATTTAACTTTTAACTTAACTAAATGAATTTTATAAGTATTAATCTTAATTTAATATTAACTTAATCTAGTTTTAAAAAAATATTAACTTATTACCTTTAAGTTGTAATGAAATTAATGCTCATTGACCTTTTTCAATCACGCAAATTTGATGCAAAAAAACGCCCCCGGGTGGGCTCGAACCACCAACCTTTCGGTTAACAGCCGAACGCGCTAGCCGATTGCGCCACGGAGGCATATGAATCTAGGTCATCATTCTCTTGAAAATGAAGTATGGTAGATTGCACTCATTCGTGTTTCATTAAAAAATATTTATCAACAGTCCGTTTAAATGTACTGCATTACATAATTATCTTAGAATAAAGATCTATTCGTGTAAAACCAAAATTTATATTCTTATATATTTATTTCATTTTTATTTAATACATAAGGTCTATTCATGTTACATGTACTTTTTGCACTCAGTATCTTTGCTTTCTCGCGCTTTAAAGTCCAAATATATATGTATTTATCTTCTTTCAAGTTCAAAAATTTTTAAAGATTTCAAGACAAAGAAGATTTCAAGATAACAAACCTATAATAAGCGCTCTACGATGAGTAATTTCTATATATATAACAATAATAACCGATTCAAAGCTAATAAGAGTTAACGCGGGAAGGGATGCATAATATTAATGTGGAATGATGACTTAACTCCATTTTTCTGTGATATCTTCTTTATTCAAAGTATTGATTGAACGTTTTTTCGGCTCTCTTTGGAGACTTTCTCAGTAAACAATCATAACAAAATATAGCTGGATAGTCCAGATACGTTCAAACACTCTGAACCACAAATATAGAAATTAGATTTGATTAAATGACGAAATTTGTATAATTAGTGAATTTAAGAATATTTAAACCTTCTTAATATAATTAGAATCCGTTAAGTGTCTACTTCAGATTTAGATAGAATGACTTTTCTTGATAGATTAATCACTCATTTGCAGTGACCATTTCATTGGAGATCAAAGGATTCTCGTAGTTGCAGCTATATTCCCATAATTTTTCCAATTAAAGAGCTGGTGAAGAAAGATTTGATTAATAACAAGAAAAATAATGAACTTCAAATAAAAGAAGTTGAGCAAGATTTTTTTTAGAAGAAAATGAAGATGATCTTATTCTCTGACAAATGATTAAAGATGTGAAGTAACAAATTAAGTGTGAGAACTTAGACTCTGAAAGATCAAGTATGCATGTATTCATATGTAATCGATATAAGTACTTATAGTTACAACACAAAGTATTCTGCAGAAACACAAACATGCTACCCATCATCAGCTCAAATTGAACATATATTTTCAAATTGGTCCTTTATTCATTCGCTCCTTCGAAATCATTTAGATTTTGATCAATCAAAAAGACTGTTACATACAGGATATATAAGGTGCGTCCCAAAATTTTCCCAACTTTTGAAATAAAACAACAACGGTTTACTTTTTTTTTCAAATTCAAATTGTTTATTCAAAGTAGTCCCCGTCGGACTCAATACAACGTTTGGCACGATCTAAAAGCATTTCAAATGAATGTTTTATGTCGTTCAAAGGCACGTCCTTCAGAATAGTGGTACAAGCCCTTTGGATGTCTTCTACGTCCACATACCGCTTTCCTTTCATGGACAAATGCATTTTGCCGAATAGGTAGAAGTCACAAGGTGCCATATCAGGCGAATACGGGGAATGGTTGATTGTTAAAATGTGATTTTTAGTCAAAAAATCAGTGACAAGTGTCGAACGGTGAGATGGCGCATTATCGTGTAACAAGCGCCAACTTCCTCCTTCGCGATATTCTGGCCGAATACGACGAATGCGGTGCACCAAACGCTTCAAAACGCTTACATAGAATACAGCATTAACTGTTTGGCCTGCTGGAACGAATTCTTTGTGCACAATACCCTTGGAATCATAAAAACTTCGATGGAATTTTCGTTAATTGTCGATTTTGGGCGACCTGTATGTGCGTCGTCATTTATGTCCTCACGACCGTTCTTGAATCGCGTATACCACTCATAAACACTGGCACGGGCTACACAATTATCACCATAAACTTGTTTCATCAAATTATGGGTTTCGGTAAATGTTTTACCAAGTTTAAAACAAAACTTAATATTGGCTCTTTGTTCGAAGTTCATTCTCGTACCGATGTATACAACATACTGACACTTGAGACGCCATAACTTCGTTTCCACTGAACCAAATGTCATGAAATTTTTACTGGAAGTCAGCTAGGGATGTACCTTTCAAACGCGCAATCGAACACACGGATGGCGCCACCCGACCTATCCCTATTGAAACAAACGCGCAATCGAACTGACGGATGGCGCCACCCGACCTATCCCTATTGAAAAAGTTGGGAAAATTTTGGGACGCACCTTGTATATATATACTCTTAAAATTACTGACTCGTTTCTGATGATTACTAAGTCTTATACATTAAATACATAAATAAGGTAAGTTTACATGGTAAGTTTATTTAATTTATATAATCTAAATATTTAAAAAAAACTTTTAAAATATAATTATATAGATAATTCAAATCTCTCTAATCAAGTAAATCAAGAAGCCTTTAAAGTAAAAAGAATCCTTTAAAAGCCATCACAGATTATAAATGTGTGAATATATTTTATTATAAAAGACAAGTATACGTTTTTATTATAAATATACGTTTCGATTCTAATTTGGATTTTCTCTTCAGTATATAAGCTTAATATTTGCAGAAAAATAACATAATCATAAAAATCAAGAATATCGAAATAAAATTGTTAAAAATATCGACATAAAAGAGTTATGGTTAAAGAATATATGGGTAAATGTTGACTAATTTTCACATCCACATTTTGTTAATGGTTGTTCATAATTATACGGGTTTATAATTACAAAGGGATATGTAATAAAAGTGCGAGAGAGAGAGAGAGAGAGAGAGAGAGAGAGAGAGAGAGAGAGAGAGAGAAGACTTGTTGGGAGT